GGAAAGTTAGAAGGAATTGGCTGTGGTCAAAAGGGGGAGCCCGAAGTGAAATTCCACTGTCTGGTGCCAAGGGCAATAGATTAACATTTAGAGGTAAAAATATGTGTTAATAAACCATTTATAAATGTGAGAAACCGAACAAGGAAACCAACCAAAACATTCAAAGAGCTGAAAAATGTGTGGTTTAATAAAGTGTTACTCTGGAGACCGTGGTTATGTGTCTGGTTTTACCTCCTGACATTGAAGGGCACTGGAGCAAACCACTTCCCTTCTGTCTCCTGTGGGTATCTCAAAGCCTTAAGCTTTAATTGCTATAGTTTCAACGCTTTCTAGCATGAAATTGCATCGTTTAAATTTTAAAAGGAGTGGTGGTCAAAAAAATAACATCTATATATCAAGAACCATAGAGAGTGCAACCTTTTTGAGACTATTTTGCACAAAATTAAAATTGAATTTGTATTGAGATCAACTGAAACCATTTATGTTATTTAAGTGAGCCGGACTGAAGTCCGTAGTGCTCAATGTTATTCCCAAGCTGTATTGAAAATGCAATGTAAAAATGAAAACAATTTTCATCACACCTTCAAAACAAAATATTGTGTCTTTCTGATTTGCAAGATTGGTGTGTCAAAAAAGAAAAAAAAAAAGATTAGAACATTCTGTTGGTTTTTTAGCACTAAAAAAAAACCCCCTCAGGCAGCTTGATTTTTTTTTTTTTAATTGTAATTTGATTCACAATGATTATTTGTGCTTTGTTCATTAATATCTGAAGCAGAGGATTGGTTATTGACCCTGCCCCAAGCCCTGGTTGATGAAGCATTGAAGGGAAGGTGAAGAAGATACAGGCAAGATATCCCTCAGGAGAGCAACAGCCACATCACTAGATATGTATATGTGTGTATATATATATATATATATTTATAGGAAGAACAAGAGTGCTGTGCTAGCACATTCCTCCTCTGCACTGCTCTGCAGCACACGCACAGAGCAACGAGCGTGGCGAGAGCTGAATTAAACTTCTTGTCTGAAGGATCCTCATTCAGCCTGGACAGGTCTGTAATGACAGGTTTGCTCCTTCAGCTTTGCTCAACAGGGACCAAAATCACCAGAGTAATCAAGAGGAGAGGAGAGGAGAAGAGGAGAGAGCAGGCACTCACCACGATGCTCAGCAGCGTCGGAGGGTGCGGTGAGATTTCATGGCCAGGCTGTTAGCCTGGAGACACACAGAAGCTTGTGGCAGATCTGAAGGCTGGGATGCAACTGAGCAGACCATGTTTAAAAACCAAGGCAATTCAAGCAGCTGCGCTTCTGCATGTTGCATGGTTGAGCAGGCAAGATCAGACCCTTATCCCCAAGCTGTTGTTAGGGGAAAACACACCAGTGAGGGAAAGGACATCGGGCTTGGCCAGAAGCACTGTTAAACTATTGCTCCAAATAGACACGCTGAGAAAAACAGCCCCAAACTGGGCTCAGCTGTGTGGAGACTCAAGTTTACCTCCATTTTACAAGTTCAGGTCATTTGTTAGCACCCAAAAGCCTTTTGGCACAAATGTGTCTAGTCCATGAGAGAGCGCTCCCCATCCTAGAACCACCAGCATCACCAGGTTGGGCTGGCCTTGCTGCTGGAAGGAGCAGCAGGATCAGAGAATGGTAGGGCTTGGGATGGAGGAACAAAGATTGAAGGGAGCTGCCACTGTTGTTCAGTGCAGTTAAGTACATTCATGGTGCAACACACAGACCCATATCCCTGCCTGAATAGCATCAATACTCTTTTTTTTTTGTTTCTCTCTTGAAAACAGGACAGCCTCAATCAGGCATGAAGAAATTAATCAAGCAGCAGCCTGATGTGACCATCAGGTCTCCATAGCATCTGTCTTGCCACAGCCCTATTGCTGCTCAATGGCTGGGGGGTGCCCCAAAACAGCCCAAAGAGCATCCACCACCTGCCAACACCACCTCTCCCTGTGCAGAGCAGAAAGTGAACCCAAACCTCCGCTCCTGCTGCTCACAAACAGCACATGGGCTCTACAGCTCGCTGAGCTGCAGGGGTTGGGGGCTTGGTGGAACCAGGTCCCAGCTATTTGCTGGAAACAGAGATGATAAAAGTGTTTCCAATGTGAGAAGCCACTCAAAGAACCAGATTGGAGGAGCTGACACAGCCCACTAAAGCCAGGGGAAATTTCTAGATGTTTTTGTGCATATAAACTCAGTAGGGACCAACTTGGATGGCAGCGAGGTGAAATGGGAGCTCAGCCATTGATTTCAATAGCTGCAGCATCTTAGTCTTGCTTTAATGTATTTTTAAAACTGGGGTGAGCAGGACCCATTCTGGGAATAGAAACATCACTAGCAATTTCATCCCCCTGAATAATTTTGCCTATAACTTGCCTGTGCTTTGACCCAGAAGCTGCTTCAAGGGCACCAGAAATCCCTCCTCCCATCCCCTTTACACTCCCCGAGCACACCCCGCGTTGCAGTGCTGTTGGATCCAGCTCAGGAATCTCTGTAGGCACAGCGAGGACATCCTGGTGGCTTCAGATGTCCCCCTGGGAGAGCACTGACACCCACCTCAGATGTGCAAATAAGCCCAGCCTTCCTCTCTCCTTCACTGGCAAAGGTTGCAGGGTGTCCTCGTTTAATTGGGATGGCATTTTGAGGTCTTGCCTCCCTTCTCGCTCTTCTAGTCAATTAAAAGAAGTTTTTTTTTTAAAGAAACAAACCACAAACCCTGCACATTTGTTTCAATTTTTTTTTTTTTTGTATTTTTATTTAAAAAGAAGGTTTGCTAACAGCAATCAGTGGCCCAGGCCCTTCAATACAACAAGCTGGCTTCAGCAGTCCCTGTGGCTTCATCCTTAGTCTATCCCTCCTCCACGCTGGGGACAAACCAGGGAATTATCTGGCTTTAACAACCACTCCTGAATCATGGGAAGTTCCTCAGGATTGCAGACTACTTCCACCTTGCAGTTTTACTCTCTGTCTCCTCCTGTCTTAGGAAACCCCAACAACTTAAGCTGAGGTTCACAGCCAGGTTTAGCTTTATCGTGCAACTAAACTCAAGTAAAAAATCTTTTAAAAGCCAGCTTAAAAAAAAAAACAAAACAAAAAACCAAACCATAAAAGAAATAATTTGCTGGAGTTGGAAAGAAACATCCCCTCGGTGGCAGATGAGCCCATATTTGTCCACTATAATGTTGCTTAGACCTTAATCTTAGGCATCTTCATCTGACACTAATTAGCAGGCTGGAGGCTCCTACGGGTACAGTAGCTTCTACATCCCAAAATATGAAAGCAATTTTTTCCTTTTACCACTCGAAGCATTCAGTTTTTAAAGAGACAAATGTCAAGTATTTCAGTCCCAAACTGTACACTTTTTAACTTAAAAAAACCACAGCAGTAAGAGGAGGCACAGAGGTGATGAGACCCAGCCATGAAAGCATTGCAGCACATGCCTGAGGCTCGCCTGTGTAGGGTTATTTGCTCTCCCACAAATTAAACCCAAACTGCACTCACTGAACCCCAGACTCACCCGCATTTTGGCACTGAGCGCTAATTAGGAGACAAATAGAGTAAGCTATGGAAGCAGAAAATTAAACTGGCTAATCAGACCAATCTAGTTGCTCAAAATCCCCAAAACTTGAGAGAAAAGCAAGCGTGGTTATAAACATTTCTTGTATTTTGGGTTCTTTCTAGGAAAAATAATAATAAAAAAAAGGTAAAAGATTATTTCTTTGATGTTCATCACTAGGCAAGCATCCCATCAGGATCCATCTGACATCCTATTTAACTGTTCAGAGGAAGAGCTAATCGGAGCTTGAAAGAAAGGACAGAGTGGGACTTCAGGAATAGAGAGCTGTATGCTGGTTCTTTGTGGAGAAAGTGAAAATAAATTATTTAGACTTGACAAAGTCCCTTGAAGTCCTGCAGCCTTTCTGCTCGGCTGGGTCTCAGGCCTATCAGCAATACTTCAGTGGTTATTTCTGAAGGGGGAGAGAAGGCAGGCTGCTTAGCAGGTAGCATTTGGGAATTAAGAGCTAGATGTACTTATGGTTTTCATGAGCCCTGACAGATGTTGAGTGTCTTTGACTGAGGCACAGAAAGACACTTAATACTAATGGTGCTGGTTTGCAACAGCAAACCTCCTTCCTGCCACGTTCCAGCACCTTTGCTCCTTTCTAAATTGCCCCTTAGGAAAGGAAGAGAAAATACACGCTCAGTGTCCTCCTCACCATCCACCCGGCTCAATGCCGATGCGTCTGTTCTCTGGAGGTCCTCACATCTCCTCTCTGAGCAAATGTCACCGGGATCAGCTTAGCACAGCTCCCCACCACCTCCTGGAGATCAAGCTGCAGCCCAGGAGGCTTCTCCCTCACCTCTCCGAAGGCTGCGCTCAGCCCAGTGGTCCATGTTTTGGATGGATCCATGTGTGACTCTACTGAGCACCAGTCCCTGCCAGGCAGGAGATGGGTCCTGCTCAGTGCCACAGACAGTCCCTCGGCTGTGAGAGCCACCAACAAACCTTCCCTTCCCTGCCCACCCCCCCCCCCGCCCCCTT